GCTAGTAATAAGTTTAGTGCATATATTATTCGCAGTACTTTTTGACACCCTAGTTTGTTGTGCAAATTGACAATTTTCTGTCGTACACTAAATTGTGTGTCGAATTATGAGACTGCATTTTTTCACCAAAGTACATGTACTCCTGACTTTCCCGCGTTATATGCTCTGGGTGTCTGGACACACTACTGGGACACACACAAACGTAACATTTTATGTAAATGAGTTGAGTACAGACAGTTATACATTGTATCAAACATGTTTAGGCTACAGTTATGATGTTTTGAATAGTAGTGATAAAATCACTGGCAATTTCATTAGGTACTTGCTCTGATGTATCAACATTTACCACAATCTGATTGTCCAATGTTTAGTGAAAACGATTGTAATGTAGTGAACGATTAATCAAAAGATATGACGTATTCAGTACTTAGTGTGATTGGCTTTATGATTGAAGGTTACGCCCTAGAGTCTTTTTACTGTTTTGTAATTGGTTAGAGTTGTGAAAATGAATAAAGAGAGTTTGAGTTGTCCTTGGGGAGCACAGCACGATAGACGCAGTCGTAGTACAGTCCTGGAGAGCCTTGGGGCGAGTGTTGACGCAGTCTAAGAGAGTCTTGGGCCAGCCTTGCGATAGTCTTGGGGATATTTCCCCAGGGCGCTGTGTCTTATAGAGTGCTCGATTGACCGACTAAGACGAGAGCTGAAACGTATTTCGTTGTGTGTGTCTTATTTGACTGTAAAGTATAAGTGACTTTCCCGATCCCATACCTCAAGGGGACGAGATAGAGAGACGAGACGAGTTTCCCCCCTGGCGAGTGTGGAGAACCCCGAGAGAGAAGAATTACCCCCTGATAGTACTCCCAAAACTCTCTTACAAAACTTTCTATGAAGTTTTTCTGGTAATATTTTGTCAGAGAATAGCTTTGATACAAAAACAGTATATTATATATTTACAGAAATTATTAAAATGATTGGTGTTCTGCAACATTGCTGACATAGAAATATAGTAATATACTATTAATACACGTCTACCGAATGACGTATCAGATGAAATGGCATGACCTCTATTTGAAGTGATATTTGGTATGCGTACCTTTTGTTGTAATTGTAGACATTTGCATGCCTACAGTAAATGGAAGACTTGTAATGGGCAGCGTAGATGCTATTTGTGACGTCAAGGGCGCACTGGTTCCTACATTAGTGGTAGATTCCGCTGTAATTTAAGATAATATGAGGTTATTACAGGGATACTTAAAAGTATGCACAAATACAGTACAGCGGAAGTATCGACAGACGCGCAGCGGACGTACTGTCTAATATTAAAACATTTACCCCCTGTGTGGTATATTCCCCTGAATTTTACGATATAGGATGAGTTCTACGTACAGTGCATATTTTCATCTAAAAAGGCATTGTTCACTGATGCAATTTTCAGAAAAGGTGGGAATAAATTCCTTCCGTTAAATCTGATTTATCTTTAATATTTATTTCTTTCATGCTTTTAAAACTCCTTTCTCTGATACTAATATTGTGCATTTGTTTTGTTATTTATTGACTTGTCCCAGTAAATGCTGATTAATAAGGTATAATTTGAAATACAAACAAGTAACAAAGTTAGGGAAAAGAACACACAATAGTATCAACTAGTTGGAAAATGCAGAAGTTATCAGCTGCTACAGTATAGTAATACGGTGTTGTGGATCATTGTGATTTGATAGGTTTGAGTCATCCATCTGCTCCGTACCTTTTTCAATTGACTATATGCAATTATTCAAATAACTATTTTCGTAGAAGATTGAGTGCACTACGACATTTTGTACGACACCATGAACATTAACGTTAACCATAATGCATTGCAATTATCTATGTGTACATACAGTTTTATTGAATCACATAAATATCATGCAATACAGAATGAAAGTTGACACAATCAAACAAATGAAACAAACTTTTGACTGCACACAAAAAGTTGTAAATTGTACAGGTGGGATTGTGTATGTGTTTTCAAAGATGAAGTAGTTATCGCGGAGATTGTCATCGAATGTATAAATCGAATTGGATTTGCATGACTAACACTTGAACTGATTTTTGAAATGCGTACCTTCTGTTGTAATTGTGGAAACCTGCACATCTGTAGTCGATTGTAGACCTGTACTGTGTAAAGTAGATGGATATATAGATGATATTTGTGACGTCCATGACGCACTGGTTCTAACATTAGTGGTAGACTCATCTGTAATAAAAGATAATATTATTTATTGTTGGTCTAAAACAGTTATTATTCCGTTTGAAATGATAATAAAACATTTACCCTATGTTGTAAATGTTGACGCATACTTCACATTGATATACAAATATTAATTCACAAAAGCGACTGGTTGACAAATATTATATTGTGGGATGCAACAAATGACAATACATTGTGGCAAAGTGTCGAATTATACGAGCTCAGGTATTGGATATTATTAGGGAATAATCTAGTTATTGTCTTCAGCTGCAACACTATAGTATTGACGAGTTTGAGATCATTATGATTTGAGGGCTTTCAGTTACCAACCTATTTCCACAAACATGCCTTACTCAATAGAATGCAATCGTCGTATTTATTTTTAATTAGCAATATGTAATTATTGAGATAATTAATTGCAGTGGAAATACAGTGTAATACGAGTATATGTATGGCACCTTGAACTTAACATTATTACGCAATACAGAATAAATGTTGACACAATCTAGATCCAATCTTGGCACATTTTACAGTGGTGATTTTGTATTTGTTACCCAGGACGAAGTAGTTACCATGGAAATTGCTATCAGACTTTTCAATTTCGTTAACGATTGTATTGCATGTGCATGTAATCAATTTGAAATATTTGCATATCTGCGTACCTTCCGTTGTAATTGTGGAAACCTGCACATCTGTAGTCGATTGTAGACCTGTACTGTGTAAAGTAGATGGATATATAGATGATATTTGTGACGTCAATGATGCACTGGTCCCAACATTAGTGGTAGATTCCTCTGTAAATTATGATAATTTGAGGTTATTACGAGGATACCGAAAAGTATGCACGAAGACTAATATGGTAGGGTGAAAATACACCGTAAAATACCGCAAAATTACGGCACGCTGTAACTTACGGCGTTGCGGTCAGATATGTATGATATTAATTATTGTTGGTCTAAGATATTTATTATCCCGTTTGAAATGATATTAAAACACTTACCCTCTGTTGTAAATGTTGACGCATATGGCATGTTGGTAGCAATCCCTGAAATGTATTATAATTTATATACGTCACGAATAAATAAAATACATACACAAATCTTTCCACATTGATATACAAATTGTATTTTGCAAAACCAACATTTGACATTTATTGTATTGTGGGGTGCAATGAAACACAATAGATTGTTGTAGAGTATAAAGTAGTTCAAAAATATCTTAAAACTGATGAATCGATATTTAATCATACTAATCCTTTGCTTTTTGAATTATTGTTGTGAATTAATGAATGACCAATGTGACTTAAATTAACATATCCACAAAACAAACATCAGTAACACATGTAAACATGCCTCATATATCATGTATATCATTTGAATAGATTATTAAAGTAGGATGAGTTCAAACTAAATCAAATATTGAGAGCTACGTGGACCCCGGTTGACTCTTCATTATTGCAAAAATATATAATATTGATAATTAATGATAATCTAGTTAAATCAATTTACACAGTGTAGTTTCTATCGTTGCGATCGCCCTGCAGACGTTGTTGTTGATGATGATTATGTGCTTGTTGTTGTTATTGTTGGTGATGTTTGATTTCTAGATGGTTAGTAGCAATACGAAAGGAAGGGGG